GAACCTGAAGCTGGGATGTGTAACATTGGACTGTCCCTCCCTATTGGCCCCTTTCACCCACCCCCTCGTTCTCCCTATTGGTCTCTCCCGGTACCCCCCGTTCCCCTCCTTATTGGTCTCTTCCGTTCCCCTCCCTATTGGTTTCTTCCGGGCCTCCCTGTTCTCCTCCTTGATTGGTCGCTTTGTTCCCCCCACCCCTTGGAGTTGGTTGCTTCCTGCTGTCTTTTTCCCCTTCTTCCTCAGCCCCTTGGTGTCTCTTCTCCCTGATTTAATTTCCTTCCACCCATTTAAAGACTCGGGTTGTTCTTTCAGTTGGGTTCATCCCTCCATTCAACCCTGCTTCTTTCTATTTCCCCCTCCTCCAGAGAAAAGAATGGTCTCTCCCACCGCCCCGCTCCTTCCCCTCCCCTCCAGGACGCGGGCCGCTCTCCATACTTGGCGATGGCCGGCAGCCCGCGCTCTGATTGGCCCGGGCGGCGGCGAGGGGCGGGGCCGGGGCCGGGCGGCGGTGACCCGGATGTTCACTCCTAGGCAACGGCGGAAGTGGTAGGGCCGCGGCCTGGCTCAGACGCAGACCGGACGGCCCCGGGAGTCGCCAGCGTCCAGCCCCGCCCCGCGGAGACATCATGGTAAGGGGGGGCCTGGTAGGGCTAGAGCCGCGCTCCCGGGGTCCCGCCTGGTGGGGGCTGCGAGGAGAGGTGCCTGCAGGGCCGGCCTGAGCCGTGGGGCTGGGCACGGCCGGGGTCTGGCTGCTCGCAGGGAGGCAGGTGCTAAGGGGAGGGCGGGTGGAGCTTCTTGCAAAGCCCAACTTCTTGGAGAGACTTCAGGGGTTGAGGAAATAAAAACAAACCAGCCAACCAAACCCCCAAGGTGTTTCTTCATCTTGGCCTTAGCGGTCTGGATGCTCCGAGTCTCAGGAGAGTCCGATGCTCCGCGTTTTGTTTAGTTGCACTGTCACCGAAGAACAAACGCAGCTCGTGTCAACCAGCCCGTGACTGAAAATCAAAGCAAAGCAGGGTTGGAAGGGACCTAGCGAGGTTGCATATAGTCTGACCCTTGCCGCTTAAGCGACTGGTTGTCTTAACGCAGGCGCCGCGTCCAGCAGAGAAGGGCTGCCAGCGTCGCATCCATGATTGATTTGTGATCGCTGAATGGTGACTTTGGGTTCACACGTGATTGGGCTGGTTTAGTATGTTTTGGATTTGGTAGATGTGCATAGGATGAGCTGAGTCTATCGCATGGATGTAAGTCGAGGACACGGTTACCTCTGCAGCCTGTTGCACGGTCTGATGCTGAACATGTTGCGGGAATGATGAGAGCAGGCTTGGGTGAGGACATCTGAGGAGTGTTTTGTGAATGGAATTGTGCGTTTCCTCCATCTTTGAAAGCTGTTTCGAATAGTTTTAAAACAAACGAGTTGTAATTTTACTGTTCCTTAAGATACCAATAAGCACAAGACTAGGAATGGTAATTGACCAAGGATCTTACATTGCACTCATCGGTCTGTACAGGTCCGTATGTCTGTGCAGAGTTTGCTTAAGGCAGGGGTGGGCAAAATGTGGCCCGTGGGCTGGATGCAGCCTGCCAGGCCATTCTGTTCAGCCTGCGGGGCCCCTAAAAAATTTAGAAAATTAATATATATCTTCTCTGGCTGCTTGTCAAAACTCAGTAAGCGGCCCTCCACCTGAAATACTTGCCTGCCCCTGGCTTAAGGCAACCTGTCTCTGGTCCTTGCATGAAGCTCCGTGTATCCACAAACTTATAGTGGTGCTGTCGTAGTGTAATTCTTCCAGGTGAACATGTAAAGGCCATGAATAGAAGATCTGTGGATCACTAGATCTATTGATCGCTATCATAAAACGCTGTAAAATGATATTGCGTGTTTTGAGATCTTTTCTATGCTGTGAGCATCTGAGTCCTTGTCACGTTGACAGGCTCAAGAAGTTTGAGGCAGTTTTCATTTTTCCCTCAAAGCAGTGGGTAACGAGGAGCTTATACTTGCTTTACACACAATGATGTTGAATATATTGTCATCACAAGGCCTAGAGGCCTTAACCAAGATCGAGACTCTTTTGTTACCAAATACTATACAAGCACATAATGGGAGTCAGTGTCTCCAGCTTAAACAAGGGGCAGGGGGAATAAACAGAGACATTATTTCAGTTTGTGCATAAAATAGGCCTTTTCAGAGCACTAGGTTCAGGGTCTCATTTACATACTCGGAGTTAAACATTTGGAATATCAATAGAATTGTAGAAAGATGGGGATGGAAAGGCCCTTGAGATCATCTAATCCAAGCCTCTGTTCAAGGCTGGGTTGTTCCTTTCTAAACTGTCACAGTCAGATGTTTGTGTAGTCTTCATTTAGGAGATGCTAGTGACAGGTTCTGCAACTGTTAGGTAATTTGTTCCAGAGCTGAATAGGTAGAAGTTTTTTAATATCTAACCTGTATCTTGTTGCAGTTACAGATGTCATCCTCACTTCTGTCATGGTCCAGCCCCACAGCAAAAACTCATGAGGTTTTGTTGAGTACCATAAATATTAAAGCTTATCTTTCTCCAGGGGGTGAGAGAAGTTTTCTCCATAGAATTTTTGCCTCTTAAAAGAAGAGTCCAGCTTGACTACCTCTACACATTGTAACAGGGAGTATCACATTTGGGGAAAGGCATGTCTCCAGCCATTTTGAATTTGATTGATGCCTTAAATTATGCCCCAAAAAGCAATGGTCAGCCATGCTAAATATTTAATAGCAGTGGAGATCACCAGGCATGTGTCCTTCATGCATGGGACAAGAGAACCTTTTCAAAATTCTGTACTAGTCCCTGCTTTTTGAGAGGACTTGAAACATGAACACACTGCAGCTGTGTTATTGCGTGATGGCTATGGGCCCATCATTTTGGCTGACTTGGTACATTTTGGATCAGCTGGATTTAGTAGATGTGCATAGGATAAGATGAATCTGTTCCTAAGTGCCATTTTAAGTTCAGTGAGAAATACTAGTTTTAAATTTAAACACATTTCTGTCCCTCCCCCTTGTGCTCTGCCCCAGGTCCCTCTTGGAAAAGTTCAGAGAACACTTGTTCTAGCTGCTCTGGAAAATTGAAAGTCTAAGTTAATCCTGCTGGGTTTAGACTCAGAGTTCTTGGGGCGCTTAGCCATTTCAGATGTCATAGTCCAGCCAGCTGTTGGATGAGCAGTATCAAACATGGTGCTTAGAACCAAGAGAGACGGGGCAGGTCTAAAAAATAGTGTTTTGCCCTGAGGGATGCCATAAGTATACTTCAGGGTGTGTGGAGTTAGGGAGTATTCCAGCCTTGTGGGTCCTCCAGTGAGTACAACCCAGTCATTGCTTCTATAATTAAAAGCTTCCTTTTCAGACTGTGTAAACTAGGGAGTATATGCAAGGTGCTTGATAAACTGTCCTGGTGGTACTCACAAGCATCTTGTTTTTCTTGTGTGTGCAACGAGTAAACAAAATCTGAGCAAGATGTTAAAATCAAACGGAGGTAAAATTGTATAGTGGGTGGCAGCTCCATCTACTTTGCTATGGCTTTTGGTCATTTGCAAAAAAAATTGTTGGGATGTGTTGCAGCAGCTAAGAAGCACTGAAGCGCAGCCGTGATGCTTGGAATGACGCTGGTACCACGATACATAGTTTTGGTGTGCTGTTCTGAGTACTTATTCTTTTTGGGGAAGGGGCTATTTGTCTTTTTGCCAAGTGGCAAGTGTGCTTGCAATTAACTGTACAGAACAGTGTTTGGATGGTTTAGTTTTTCTTTAACCACTTAAGGCGGTTTTTTTTCCAAAGCACCTGAAAACTGAGCCCTCCTTTTAGGGGAATTAAACCAATCTTGCAAACACAACCTGTAGTGTTAAAGCCAATAATCTGGTTTGTACATCTTCCATGCTCCTGGGCTAGTTCTTTGCACCCCATGCTTTGGGAACACTGATTGAAGGGATCTTGTGCAGTTCATATTGCATTAGGCAAGTTTAGATATGTAAACTAACTACACATTATCTTAATTTTTTCTGGAAATTTGCCTTTTCAATTAGTCTGAGACTGTCAGTTGGGATATCCATTTTCTGGTGATAAAAGCTAAGGTGAATTCATAGTGATATTGTCATAATTCCACATGACATTTCTTACTTTCTTCTAATTTACTAATCTGTTAATCTTTCTCCGATACATTAGAATAATTCAAGCATGACTCCTCTATTTGTAATAGAGATCTGTTATCAATGTACTTCTCGGTTTTCAGAAGGAAAACAAAATAAAAACACACTGTAAGTATGTTGGATTTTATGTCTATTTTTAGCAGATAGTACAGTACTTGCACAGAGGAATGACTCCTTTTGGGAGAGAAGTATTGCTGCCCTATTAAGTTTCTTCTTATACTGCTGTCAGCTATGCTTTCTGCCCATTTGCTTTGCTCTGTAAAGGACAGCTGGTTCGTTCTTTACCCTTACACTTCAGGGATGAGTACACAACACTCCTGTGGGGGCAGCTCAACATGTTACAAGGATTGACTGTGCAACATAGCAATCCAGATCAGGTCTGGCTGAGTAGAGAGCCTTCATGGGCAAGCATCTAAACATTGGGGTCTGGGCCCCCACTCTAGTGTCTGCTCCATGCCTGTGTGAACTGAAAAACCAAAACAGTTTCTTATTCACTCATTAACTAAATTCCCAGAGAATAGGATTTTTCTATTATGATTGTGTATTGTAGTCATGTTACTCAAATTGATTGAAAAATGTTAGAATGGGTTTTGTTGGGTCTTAGATCACTTGCTGGATTTCTGGCACTTTTATAGGACAACCCTCACCTTGTAGTATTTTTTGCAAGTGCTGATTTTGGAATGCTCATGCAAGCAAGCTGTTTAAATTATGAAGTGTCTGTATTGACTTTGTGAAAGCTGAGTTTAGGTCTCTGTTCTAAGTCCTGGATTTTACCCTACTGACCCTATGGCAAGTTGCTTTGCTTAAAATAATAATAATAAAAACCCCCTCTTTAATCCTCTTCACTTTTCCCTTAAAGTGCCACATGGGCAATTGAACCAAAACTGTCTGTGGGTGCATGGCATTTATGATTTCTTGCAATGCATGTTCTCAGAGAAAGGTAGACTTGCCAAACTGGGCATCGTCTTGTAGCTACGGTTCCAATAGCCGCAGGAATGGGGCAGTTCTAAATCAAAGGGCACACTGCCATGGGGAAAAAATATATAGAAATCTCATTGGATTGGGGCCAGACAGTAGAAAAAATAAGCTTCATGAGAAGAAGTTTTAGTAGAGGAGGAGCATGGAATGAGGACTGTAGAGAGAAATAGCATAATAGCTGACTGAATGAGGAAGAGGCGACAATCTCCATTTTTTCCCATGGCTTCATGCAAGGGTTCCTGGTGCTGGATAGAGGGGTGTTAGGACCAGGAATTGCTAAGTCTCAAGGAGCATTTTCTTCTTCTTTTTTTTTTTTTTTTTTTTTTTTTTTTT